TAGCATGTATAGACTTGGGTTTGGTCCCTACTACTGGAGAAAAAAAAAAAGAAGTGAAATTTTGTGAAACACTAACAAATTCTTCCAACAGGGCCAGATCTAATTTGCATTCATGCCAGTGACATGTATGAGAGTGCCTGTTTCAAGCTTCAGTGTTTTCAAACTTTTGAATTTAAGTCAATCTAGTAAGTGATATGTGGAACTAACAAATCTTGAAAACAAGTTATGAGCTATGTATCGCTCATAGTAATGACAGCAATAACCCATGCGTGCTAAAAACATGTATGCACTTAGGTGAACAGGACATTTATGTCCTCATAAAGCTTTTCCCCATAGGTTGTTTATGTGAAAGAACTTGTGCAAAGGATACAGCTGAGGACTGATGGCCAAATCAATAATTGGACAAACTTTCATCATGTTCTGTACAATGGACACAAAACGGCCTTTGTAGTATGCTATCCAAAAAAAACACTTCAATTAAATTATGAGAAAAAAATTAGAATAATCTATAGTTATATCTTCCAATTTAGGACCAGTTGAGTTGTAACTACTCTGAGATATGCTACTGTTCAATGTGGCATTCGTATTACTTCCATTAATTACAAAAAATTTAGCTGCACTTTATTAACAGTTAATAAACTTTTGCAACCAGGCATGGTGGCACAATGTTGTAATTTCAGCACTGGGGAGAGTGAACCAGGAATCTGAGACCAGCTTGGGCTATACAGTGACTTTGAGGGTAGCCTGGGCTACAGAGCAAGACTTAGTTTCAAAAAAACAAAAAGCAATCAATCACTTAATAAAGACTAGAGAGAAAAACTTTTTTAGAAGTTAGTGAATTTCTTTACTTCAATACTGATAGGAAAAAGAGGAAGTATTTTACAAAGAATTAATGTGCATCCTAAACATCTCTGCTTGTCTACAAGTTCAGAAAGCTTTGCCATGTAGGAAGGAAGGATCGTGGGAGGAAAACACAGAGTTGTAGAATGTTCAAGGACTTAGATAAAAACAGAATCAAAAGGATAAAAGAGTAATACTCACCGCCCATAAGACTTTACCTCTACAGTAAAAACAGGAGTCTGGGGCATGCTCTGGTAGTCCCAGTACAGGACTGGGTTCAAGTTGTAGGACTGAATTCTAACATTGGTCGGCACAGGCACTGTAAGAGATTTGAAAAAGGAAAGCAGACAACAATAAAAAACTCATATTCACATTAAAAAATTTTATCATAAGATGTCATGTTAGTCAAATATATTTGAAAAGTCAAAATCAATAAATAGTAAAATGATTTCAAAGGGTACAAAAGGGTTTTGATTCATTTTAAGTGATGGAAACCTCATTGGGTGTAAGAGAAACACAAATATAATATGAAGCAATAAATTCTCATAATGTTTTAGAAGTTTTTGATAAATAAATGTAATGCCTATTATAATAATAATCTCTAATTTTCTTAATTCCTAGAATTTTGAAGCTTGACACCATAGATTACCATCAAGGTCTAGAGAAGAACTGTCCATGTCAGGTATGATAATTTCCCTCTTCAGTGTGGCAAGCCCTCAACTCTATACCATTACATCTTCAACACCGTTTCTATAGCACAAGAACAGGCACCTAAGGATTGACTAACAGAACTACTGACTAACCCATTTTCATGGATATTTTGCTTTCTGTGGAATGCAGGGCTTTTTACAAAACGTATCCAACATTGATTTCTGTCTTTACTTTTAAAAACCACTTCTGAAAACATTTGTTGGCAAGACTGAAAGAGCCACATGGTGAACAGGAGGATGAACATGCAGGTATAGACACAGTTAGTGATATGACTCAAAATTTAAATGTAATTCATTCTATCTAGCCGGGAAATTCCATTAACCATGATTCACTAATAAAATCAAAATAAATAAATGAATGGTAAATGTGGCCAGGTGCAGTGGTTTCCAAAGATAACATCCCTATCTTCAGAATTTGTAAGAGTCCAAGCCTGAGTTTCTAGTTTAGCAAGACTTCCTGGATGGTGATGACACTCACTTGGGCCACTTAAAAAAGCAAAATAAAGCAAAATAAAAAGCCTCATAGGGTCAGACGTCAAGAAACCTGGGCTATTTCCTGGTTATACTGGTAAATAGTTACTTCAGATTTCTTATCTATCAAGTAAGTCATTAATTAATATACATAAAGCATTTGCTCACTGTTGAAGGAAATGCCTAATATATTTTTTCTAAAATAAAAATCCCCAAATTCCGATCTTTCCTAAAATATCCCCCCACAAAGCCCAAACTGGTACATTTGTTTTAATTTATAATTATTTATTAAATAAATGTACTGTCTTTTGAAAGCATAATATGCATCAAGTTATTTAGGTAAATGATATGCAATTATGGATAATTAAATTCTAGTGTCAGCTTTTTCTTTTTCTGATAACTTTTTCCTTTATGGCAGTGGTTCTCAGCAGGTCGTGAGTTTATCCCAGCAAATAGTAGGCAATGTTTACAGACAGTTTTGGTTCTCACAACCCAGAGCGATTAGAGGGTGGCTGTTACCACTGGCATTAGAAGGTCAAGACCATGCAGGATACCACTAAATAGCCTACAACGCATAGGGTATTTCTCCATAATAAATAATACAGCCCCCAAAGTAAGAAACTGTTCAGTGAACCCAAGGCCCACATGCAAGTACTCTACCACTGAGCTATCCCTGGCCCTCTTTAAAAACTTCAGTTTGAGACAAAGTCTTACAAAACTGGTTGCCCAGGCTGCCCATGAACTTGTGATCCTGCTGCCTTGGCCTCTCAAAGAGCTGGAATTACAGGTAAGCATATGCCACCACACCCGGCTTATTTATTTAGGAGGAAAATGAATTTGAAAACAAAATGCTTTATGGTAAACCAATAAATGTTATGGCACTGCCTTGGAAGAAAAGATTTAGCTTCTGCCAAAATACCTAACTTCTGCATCAATCACCAAAGTAATGTCACAGTGTGTGCCAAAGGCTGAGATTATAAACCTGGGGGAGAAAGGGAGGTCTCACAGTCTCAAATACTCTCAACTACTAATTTCTGTGTGTCCTGTAACAAGACAACTACAAATTTTCTACTTACATTGCTGAGAGTTCTTGGTGCTCATCTTTGAATATCACCTTTAGTTCCCTAGGCAATTTCCTCCCAAAGAGCACCCAAAGCACTGGTCTCACCAGATTTGGTTCTGGCTCTTCCTTTTAGTTTTTGTAGAGTGCCCATGGGCATACATAGCAGGAATCCTGAGGTTTCCTGAGTATTCTGCCCTTTATGGAAAGTTTGTACCTGACCTTTCTGAAACAATCTAGTTTCAAGTAAAGATCCATGGTTTCTACAGAAATAGAAGCCACTTGTCCCCTAACTCTTTCAACATTACTATCAAATAACAATCATGCAAATAATCATAATTTTGCAACCAGGTAAGAGATGTACTTAGTGGCAAGAAAACTCACAATGAACCTGAACTTCCTTCAGCAGTCAGTTGTTAATTTTAGCATCTTTTGCCTCTGAAGAGGCTGACAATTTTCAAACCATCAGGTCCTGGTTTCTTTTTAATAGTTCCATGACAAATCTGTCTAGTCGCAAACTTTAGACAAGAAACAAGAAACCAGGAGTTGCCTTTAACACTTTGATTGGAAATCTCTTGTGCTAGATCAGCAGGCATATTTCCTGCTAGGCTTTCTGCTGCTACATAACAAAGATCCTTTTTCCTTCAGCTCCCAATAACAAGTCTTCCACTTCCTTTTAAGCCCATCTTTTTAATTAGTCCTAATAAATTATTTTGTGACTATATATATATTCAATCTGAAATTCCCGTTTTGAGAAAAAGGCACCTAGAAGTCAATCTAAATAAAATAGCAATGTGTACTTGTACTTAGAAAGGAATTACTAAATCACATATTATAAAATCACAAACAATAGTAGACTTGTGCAGCAGCATTAGTTTTTAATGTGAATCAGACTATGTTTCTCATAATTTAAGGAAAAGTCTGCCATGGTTAGAGTAGGACAAGAACTTAAACCACAACTTTCCAAGCAATCAGGTCAAACAGGTACTGATAGGAAGAAGTTTTAACAGACTCTAGTGACAAAAATTACTACCAAAGGAGAAATTTTTGAATAGTTACACCAAAAACACAACCTGTGGTTTTAATGCTACCTGAAGAGAAACCATGAAGTTATTAGACATCTGCCTTTGTCAAAAATCACACATTAAACAGACATGAGTCATTTTCTCATAGTTTCTGATTTTTATAACCTGCAGTCTAAATAACTACATATGCAGAAAAAACTAATTAAGGCTCACAAGAAGCTTCTAACCATAGCACATTAATATTGTATAAGTAAAAAAGATACTGAGAGATAGAAAAAGAATAGTATTATCTACAGAGTTTACAGAGAGATTCTATTAGAATGATTTAAAATAATCTTATAGATTTTCCCATCTCTTGAAAATGCCTATATTTCTCCACTGGTTTCAAAAATGGGCTCAGAATTACTTTGTGTATTTTGTCTAAACACTGCCTATTAGCTTTTTAAAGATCTAATTCCCAAAACTCCCACAGAGGAGTTAAACTGAGGATTAAACAAAAGTAAACACAAGGAGGAGTTAAGAGGGCAAAGAGCAGAAAGGAAAGGAAAGCAAAGCAAAGCAAAACCCTAAACACAGGAGGGAAATATCAGTTTTATCGCACTCCAGTACAATACAGAAGAAAAAGAGAGCTCTGACTAGAGCCAAGTGTTTTCTTAGATGAACAGGCAAAAGTGGCAGGATAGCAAAGGACAGCAATGGACAGGACAGACTAAGACAACTGATAGCACAGGGTCACGGACTGGACAAAAGGAATGTTACGAAAGACAAAAGTAGTAGCCCGAAGAGCTCTGCAATAAGTATTGGTGAATACAGAGTGGTGGAGGAGGCAAAATCCAGACACCTGCAGATGGCAAACTGAGGACACAGGCAATTTCCTGTGCAAAAAAGTGACAGGAATAAGGACTGTCACCCATGCTCCAATAACTGCCAAAAGCAAATGCTGTATTTGAAAGTAGGACAGCCCGAGATGTTCACTGTCCTTTTTAATATGCACGTGTATAAAGATTGTATAAAAGACCTACACTGGACGGGAGCTACAGATTCTGCAGCCATCCTTTGACAATCTGCTCACCAACTCTCTGTGGACAGAACACACTGAAGGATGAAGGGGCCAGTAATTACATCGCTTTTGTGACTCAGAAGTCATCTGATATACAACTCAAAACCATATGCTCTGGACTGCAGCATCTCAGCCCTTTCAGCCCTTCTCCAAATGAACAATTCTAAGAAGAAAGATCTAACACCTTTCCAAAGATGAAGATACAGGGTCATGGGCATTTTCCGAAAGTTTCACTTCTTCCTTTTTTTGTTTGTTTGTTTTTTTGGTACCAGTGATTGAACTGTGGTCCTTGCGCTTGCAAGGCAGGTGGCAGCACCACTAAGCTAAATCCCCAGCCAGAAGTCTCTTCTTGTAAAATGAGAAATGGCTGGAGAAATTCAGACCAGATGTAAAAAATAAGCCTATCAGAATAAAAATTTTTTGGGGGGGTGTACCGGGAATTGAACTGCAGACCTTGCGCTTGCTAGGCAGGCAGGGAAACCACTGAGTGCCCTATCAGAATAAATTTACAATCTTGCTTCTTGATGGCTTAACAGTGCTGATGAAAGGGCTATTTTTCTTTATGCTCATCCCTTACATTGAAGCTATGCAAGGACATTTGGAGAGTTCCTGCACATGTTTCAAGTGTTCATGAAAGTTTTAAACTGAAATATTTCAACACTGTTGGACTTTAAAAGAAATCATATTAATCACTATGTGAAATAATGGAAGAAAAGTCCACTTTCTGCTTCCTTTGATCACTGTCAGGTACCTTTAGAGAAAGACAATTTAAGAACCAAGAGTTCAACAAGGACTAAAATGTTCCAATCTGTAGCATTTTACTTGTACATACTTGTCCTCGGCTAGGTCAAGATCCCTAGTGTTCCTGAAGTCTTCTCTTCTTTTCAGGCCCTAGTGCTTCATGTGATCTCTTAAAATGTGGCGCCCAAAGGACTGGGGATTTAGCTCAGCGGTTTGGTGGCCTGCCTTGCAAGCACAAGAACCTGAGTTCAATCCCCGGTACAAAAAAAAAAAGTGGCACCCAGAAGTAATGCAACAGATGTCAATAAATTATTTTCCTCCTCCCTCTTTAAAAAAAGAGCTGTGCATTCATACTGTAGTTTATTATGAAATAGTTCTCTCCTCCTCCCAAATATTTTTCTGTCAAACTAATACCAAATTAGAGCTTATCCAATAAATACTTGTTTAGCTGTCTTTCTGGCCTAAAAGCTAGGATTTTATTCTCTTTTTACAAAAGAGACAGACAGGGTCTCACTGTGTTGCTTGGGCTGGTTCTGAATGCTTACGCTCAAGAGATGATCTTGTCTCAGCCTGCAGAGTATCTGAGACTACAGAAAAGGGCCAGGCAGTGGCTTATGCTTACTATTGATCTAATATCATCTAACTGGGACAGGGCTAGCATGAGTTCTGACCAGACTAGACCAATCTAATCCTTGAGAAAAATACTTTCTGAGGATTAATCCCCTTTGGACTAATTTATTCTAAGTTTAGAGTAGTCTGGAGATTGAAAAAATAAAACAGGTCTTTTCAGCTTATAAATAAAGAGGAAAGGGCTGGGGATTTAGCTCAGTGGTGCTACCACCTGCATCACAAGCACAAGGTCCTGAGTTCAATCCCCTGTACAAAAACAAAACAAAAAAACAAAAAAACAAAAAAAAAAAAAAAAGGGAAAAGGTAGAATGACTTAGCTGCTGAACATATTTTAAATTTCTCATAATGATCTGGATAACTCTTGATGTTTAAAAGCCAATACAATTTCTCATATATAAGCAAAACAATATTCAAAATATATCTGTTAAAAATGACATGTAATATTGAGTAGTAATCATTCATATATATTAAACATTTACTACAGCTCAACTTTTTTATTCATTATCTCAGGTAATCCCCCAAATCACCCTATGATGGGCTTAGAGAAGTTATGAAAATACGTGTCCATAAGCAAAGTTTTGTTCATTTTAATGAAACATCCTTGTGATCGTTCAATGAGGGATGATTATTTTTTTTTACTCGTACATGTTTGCTATATCTAATTACAGTCATTGTGAGCAGTTAACACGCATGTAACACATCTTGATTGTTTTACTTCCCCTTTCTCCCTTCCCTGTCTCCTCCCTCCATCTCTAGATCCCCTTCCCATGCAATGATCATTTTCCGATGATTTCATAAGCATCTGCTTCCATAATGTTGGCTGGATTTATTACTCTACCATGATTATATGATGGCCAGTGCAAAACCTAAACAACGGATTACAGTAAATCATTACTGACAGACAATAGACAAGAATGAAACAAGTATCTAGTATTCTGATTACTAAGCACTGGAAGACACTCCTTAATGCGAAAATTACAGCAACCCCCTCTTTTCAGAATGCACTGTTATAATTTGCTCTTCTGTTCTACTACAGTACTATTTAAAATGTAATATCTTAAGTATTTTGAATTTCTGAAATAAGTAAACAGAATCTGACAAAAAAGTGAAAATTTTAAACACTACCCAAAGCATTATCCTAAATCAGAGAATAAGTAGAGCTACAGTTGATAAATTACAAAATGTCAGGTGAGAGGCCCAGGCTGGGGGCATGTCCTGCTCAGCTCTTTAGATACCACCAGAGCAGAACAGCAAACCAGAAGGAGGCAGCCACTGTAGCAGACCCATTAATTCACTTAAAAATATACACACTACTTTAATACGTAAAAGTCCATATGGACGAAGTGCCACTGGTTAATAGGGGCACATTGCCTTTATTTTCACTGAGAAAATATGAAAGGCCAGGACTGTAATATAATACATTCGCAAACACGTGGGTTTTCCAGAGACTGGCTGTAACAATACACACTCTTCACTGCTTGCCTGCTCCTATCAGACGCTTATTCCTACATGATCCCCCGACTCCACAGCCAAGCAAGCAGGAAAAGTTAACACATGGAGGCACTGGCAAGAATGGGAAGCGAACCAAGAGCCAGAAACCGGTGTCTCCGTGGGTTTTCCTCCTACACAGAGGAGCTTTTTTCAAATTACCTTTGACAGAAAGGGGTGGGGCCCACTGACCCCTGTGCCGACAAAATGCTAGAGCACAGAAAGCCGTGGATCTGTGCATAGGACGCAGGCAGGCAGCCTCACTCCCAGGGCAGGCCTGGAGGATGTGCAGACTGTGCAGACACAGGGGCCCTGGTGCTCAGGAGGAACCTGGCTGGCACTTGGTGCAGTGCTCCATCCCAGCCAGAAATCTGAGTTTTCCTGTTCTCTGTGCACAGGGTTTTACCGACTGCCTCCTCCATGTTCCTTCACACTGTCCTTTTTCTCCATTAGAATTACTACTTCTCCCCTGCTCCTCCACACATTCAAGCAACAGCTTGCTGACGGATTTCCTCCCTCAAAATTTTATAATTAGCCTAGCCTTTCTAAATGGCATAATTAATCCTGCATAAAATCATTTCCTTCTGTAAAATAATCCAGTCACTGCCCAGTGACTTCAGCCAGGGATAGAGTTTGTAGATTATTTTGTTGACTTTCAGAAACACCACGCTGCTGCTTCTAGGAATGCTCTCACCCTACTCACTTTGACCATGGCCTTCCCGTATGACCTGGCACCCAAGCAAGCTGGATAAATGAGAACCTTCCCCTGGGGATTTGTTAAGATGGAAGAAGCTGGGAGACTGGGCAGGGCTGCAGAACGGGGAATGAACTTAAACCGCATGTAGAAAACATCCTCAACCCTCTATTTTTTAATTTTTGAGACATGGTCTGGCTAAATTGCACAAGCCAACCTTGCACATAGGATCCTGTTGTCTCACTTTCTCAAGTAGCTGGGAGCACAAGGTGCCCCGACGCCTGGTAAGGTTCATAATTTTAACACTCAAATGCTATCAGCATGTTATCTTCCATGATTCCCACCAAGGTGGGAAAGCTGTCAATACCCAGAAAGAATTAAGAAAAGTCAAGTTCTAACAGTCTGAGGTGTTGGTTCTAGCTTCCTGAGACCCAGCAGATATCTCTAATTTTCTGTAACCACTGCTTGGATATTCTGAGGCGATAATTTCCTTTTTGCTAAAGTAATCCAAGCTGTGTTTCTATCCCTTGCATTATACATGACAAGGCATTTCATCACTTGGTTCTTACCTCTCCTTCTATTCTATTTCCCCTGTACCCTTATACACATAAAGTCTGTAAAGAACACTTTAGTCCACGAATTCAACACATTGTTTCACCTCTCTGCCGCTGCACCTCTAATTCTAAGACTGAGGTAATCTCTATAAAGTCTTTCCTAATATTCCACTGGACGGAGCCAGCACCCACATCTTGCTTTACAGTGGCCTATGCATAAGTTCAAGTTCTTGTACTCGGCATTTTGCAATTGATTGCCCTCACCCTAGATAATGGCAGTTGGCAAAATGGTTAATAACTTGGACTCTGGGGCCAGCTGCCCAGCTCCCCACTGAGTAGAAGTTTCTTCTCTGCAGGCCAAGCAAAGCTTTGTGCCTTATCACCCTCTCACCCATAAACAGAAATAACAACAGCACCTACTTTACAGCGCTTATGTTTTCACAACATGTTTACAACAGTGACCAGCTGTTTGGAACTCTTATTGTGGTTCTTATCACAATCCTTGAAAGCAGAAACTAAAGAACCATGATTTTTGCCTTCCCAGAATGTGGCACTATGTCTGCCCCAAGGGAATGAGCAGATAGACATTTGTTGGCTTGACTTTTGAAGATTAAGCCAAGCGGACCTAATGAGAACTCAAGGAAGAAGTCAGAATACTCCTGATCATTCTGAGCTTTATAAATGCTATTTCCAGCACTCGTTTCTTGGGAAAAGCCATAAGCAGGCAGAAATAAAACGCTCTGAGGACCTAAGTATACGAAGAGACCTGAAGACAAATCTGCTACTGAGCGTGGGCATCCCACGGCTTCCACGCTTAGACGCAAGACCAACTATATACCGCCAATTAACTCCAAGCCAGCGACAGAAAACTTCTCCCCTGACCTAAGGATTGTGAGCGCACCTGAGATTGAAATATTTAAGTCGGCAGCAGTGGACGCAGTGCCCAACACTGACTTACTTAACGAAAAAGACTAGTAATAGAGACTAAAGTCTAGAGAAACCGGGCGGCGTGCTTAGCTGCGCGGGCCGAGACCCAGCGTCGCCGCCGCCCGGGCGATCCCAGGA